TATTTGAGGAAATACTGTGAGGATACTGTGTTAAGTTCTGACTTGTAGGAGTGGTTTCCTAGGAAGACTTACTTGGTACGGCAGTACAAATGTCTTTGAACTTTTTACTAGGCCGAATTTTCTTAGAAGACTACACTTAATTGATTGAGCAGTTGTTTTGTTTTGCCCTACCATAAATGCATGGGAGCAAGGAGGTTTCTGTGCTTGCTTTTGCGAGCTCCAGTGACAGCTGGATGCTTCCAAGCCTCACCTCCAACCTCTAATGCTTTTCTTGTTTACCACAGGATATTAATTCGATTGCAAACTTTTACATGTGAGGATTTCCTCCCTTGTAGTAGTGCTGCTCAGTATGAAAGCTAAAGCTAATTTACCTTGTGCCAGTCTTTTTTAATGCGTGTGGGTAAGAAATACGCCTCACTTTATGAGTTTGTCCTAGTAAAGTGTTCCTACTCATTCCCTATCTATTCCAAGATAATATTATCTATAATTCTGTTCCTTCCGTCACCTAGCGACAACAGTTCCTTATACCTTTATCTGGACTTGGACGTAATGATTGTGTTATCTTTGAAATATATTCACATGTATTTTAACACTGTATGGGGAGACTTTATGATTTACCTGAAGAGCTGCATTTTAGTGACTTCCCTCCATATCCTTCCCAATTTTACTTAAAGCAACTTACAGTTGGTATGGTTACTATGGTAAACATGGTTACTTCCATGTTTATAAGGTTAACTAATATAAACTTCAAATACATGAGAATAATGAATCTGTATTTGCCAGTGAACCTTTATAGGCATCATGCTCTGATCTTTATGCTGTATATTTCAAAAAACTCTATTCCCTTTTTCAGGGTTCTTGGTTTGCAGCCCTAACTCACAAATTTTCATTAGATTTTGGATATTCTTGGGAAAAATAAAATATGTATATTTAATTTAAAATAGAAGTGTTAAAATCTGTTGAATATATGGTAATGTTCTGGTTCTTGTTGGCATAGATTTTTCCCATTGAGTCATATGCTAGCAGGGGGAAAATGAGTGTTACTTCATTTGATAATGCAGGGTCAAGTTTTATAGCCAGAGAAAATATTTTTATCCTTAAGCAAAGCATTTTTTTAATGTTAATTTTACTGTCTGATAAAGGGAACTTTTTCCTAACATGCTTGGTTGTATTTTCAAAGTAAAACTTCATTTATCCAACTGCAAATTCTCCTTTTGGAGATGTCCATGTATAAAAATATATATATATATGTACATATATATTTATATATGTATTTTTTTGCAAGACGAGGGTTATAATGTATCTAGAATTTCACAAGAGGAATTTGAGAATGCCCTAGTATTGAAAAGATTAATTTCCTTACATTAAATTAGGAATTATAGTTAGTGTACTTTCATATTGTTTCCCCTTTTATTCTTTCAGTCTGCATTTGTAAGAATTATTTTAAACTTCAGAAGATCTTCTTGGACTCTTAATTTTTATGGTAACAGTGCTATGTTAAATACCTTGAGAAATGTTCTTGAATATTTTTATTTCTTTTTGTTTCCTTTGCACTCATCTGCTTGGTTTGATAATTGATATTTACTTAACAATGTCTTAAATATGCAGTAATCCATTGACTCTTGGGTACTTTAACAAGTTTTTAGTGTCTACTTCTAGTGCTTCTTACTCAAATATTTTAAAATAAGGAGTTAGAATAGTAGAAAAGGAGTTTTGATCTCTTATTCAGGAAAAGACTTTAAGTGTTCCTTTTTCTTTAAATTCTTGCTACGTTCATCTAAAAAGTCAAACCCACAATTATTTATAGAAATTTTAATTATATAAAATGGACAACTGCATAATCTGCAAGGAAAAAAAAAGAAAGAGTTGCAGTATAGACTTGCAACTTCTTAAGCTTCTTTAAAAAATACTGTTAAATTGTTTTGTCTACTTTATACCTTTATGCATTTATGTCTATTTTTCAATCCAAAGTGGAATTAATTTCAAGTAATTTAAGTGCTTTAGGAGAATAGTTAAAGTAGAAGTAACTTGAACAGTTTACAGAAGAGATATCCTGTCTTGTTTGGAATGAAACTCTATCACAATATATGATTGTATTTCCTATGAATGGACATTAAAACAGGGTTATGAACAACTGTATTTTGTGTTTGAACAACATGGATAGTTTGGTTAGTCTTTATGACAAATACTATCATAAATGCAGGGACATGCCTTTATTTCACAATTAGAAAACAGAGTTAAGACATTCAACAGTTTGACCTTTGCCAGTGTTTTTCTAATCCGCTTTAATTTTTTTTTTTTTTACAGTGGTTAAATTTTCTCTTTCCTGTTTGACAATTTTTCTTTTCACGAGCATTTTTAAGTCTTCTGGTTCTTCTCCTTTTGATTTCTCTCCTTACTTTATATACTAACAGCTAGATTTTACAAAAAAAAAGTCTTATTTTCAAAGTTTGAAATGCTTAATGCTGTCTTCTGCATTTTACATTTCAGATATCCTAAACTTTTATACTGTATGAAAAAAAAAAACACAATTTGGACATAACTTTCTGAAATCTTTACATTTGGAAATATGACATTTCAAGAGATTAGGCATATTAATGTGTTAGTCAAAAGTGTTTAACTTCAGTCTTTAGTATTTCGTTAGGGAGCAGGAAATTAAAGCAATCCCTATACTCTGTACTTTGCTACAGACAGGACTAGTGCTAATATGTTGCCAGTCTGTGCAACTATCACCACTGGAAATGTCACACAAGGGAACTTTCTTCTCTATTTCTGCTGAGGCAGAGACAACTAAGATGTTTGTGAAGAGTGTTGAGGTTGGGCAAACATTACAAAAATTGCTTGTATTCTATGAAAATAACTAATAGTAGTTGGCACCCAGGACTGTAGCTGGTAGGATATGTGGGTGCTTTATTTTGTTTGTTTGCTTCTTCTCTCTAGTGTATTTAATGCCTATACCTCATCTCTACCCAGTTGTGAAAGTCTTCCCATGTTTAAAAAAAAAAATGAAAATTTGCATTGGCTACAGTTTTATTGTTTTTGGGAGCTGGCATACTGTAACAAACTGTTGAGCAATACAATGACTGTGTAGTCTTGTGTTAGCTAAACCGAGTCTTAGTAATGGGACTCAGTTCTAGTAACCCTTGGGTAAAATAGTCCAGTGTAACAAAAATATTCGTTTTGTTAATGCAATACTGTTCCCAGTGGCATCATATTTTCCTTGTAGGACAGAGCGAGATCCAATTATATGCTGCTTTGACTTGATCAAGCTTTGTCTGAGAACTCTCCTTCCTATGTATTTTTGTTTGTTTTCCCATTGGAAAGCTCAATCTCCTCTATAACCCCCAGAAGTTAGAATATAGAAATACAGCATGAAGAGAGGAAGTAAGTGTTATTTTTAGACTCTCGTTTCTGTAACAGGGCTGTCTTCCTAGCCCTTTCCTCAAATACTGAGAATTCAGGAATAGCTTCAGGGCACTTATATATGAGTTTATTTCTAGGTTTAAAATATTATATAAATTTTATTATCCAATAAAAAGTATTATTTAAAAACTTTGAAGCTTTCTTGCGAAAGAAATTCCATTGTCAGGTCACCTTATCAGTGGACAGTTATGAAAACCAACTTTAACAAGCATGACAGTATTGAGCAGGAGAGGTTAAAAAAGACTGCATTAGAGAATTGAGGCAGGTGGGAAATAAGAGAGCGGATGTAAATAAAGGTATGTACTAGAGGGGAAAGAGGGAGTAGTTTAACTGCTCCTGCTTAGTTTAGCAAACAAACTACCCTTGAAAGGGGGAACAAATATCTTGATCTTGGAACAAATATCTTGGTCTGTACTAGGCGAATTGGCAAACACAAATAACTTGCATTGTGTCTTGATGAAATTAGGCTTAAAACATTTTGGTTTTGTGTCTGTTTACATTTCTGTAGTGCTGGCATCAGTATATACTGACAATTAAAAATAAATACTTAAATATTTTTCATAGTATAATTATTATTTGTAAACACTTTTTTACTACTGAAGGCACACATGGTATTTTGATCAGGGTTTAGAGGTTTTTTTTAATATCTCTACTACAGCTGCTTATGTAGTATTTATCTGTAGTAAAATGTGTGTTTTAAGATGTGCATCTGGAAGTTTGGGCATCTTAAATGCATGTAGTATGCATTTGTGTGTTAACCTTATGAAACTAAGTGCTAAACTGGGATGTTTAGCTCTTAAATATCTTTGGAGCAGACAGTGTTGATGGGCCAGTAAAGAATTAGGGACGACGCTGCTGAATTGCACTCTGAGATGTGGCAGAGACACTGTAAGAGGAACAATGCGTGCTGTCCCCAGCAGGAAGACAGGAAAGTGGAAATTGCTGTGGAGCAGGGGGTCTCACCTTGCTAAAGACGGCAACAGCACCAAGCTGGACATGCTTGTAAACACTGATAAGGGACCCAGACCTGCATGGTGACAGTGCAGAAAAAGCAGATGCTCTTACTGATCTTGCCTGAGGATTTTGGAAGAGTCTTTGTAGGAATGACCCCTGCTCTTACCCTGGGACACTGGACGGAGGTAACTCCTTGTAAGGCTGAGGCCCCTGCATGTTCAGGGTGTAGAGATGCTAGTGAATTTTCAACTCCTTGCAAGGTTGAGAAACCCCTCTATTCTCAGGGTGAAGTAATGCTATTGCAATTTTCAGCAATTTTAGTTGCTTTTATTATTATTATTATTATTTCTTTTTCTGGGACAAGCAGTGTACTTTGTTCAGTTTTGATGAGCCTCGTAGCAATCCTGCCAGTTAATGATGAATGTTGTTATGACAAAGATCTTATGCTGGTGAATACAATCAACCAACTAAAGCCCAGTGGTTGTTGCCCCTCTGGATTATTTTACTGTCTCCTTTAATGACACCACAAAAAGTTTATGTTTCTCTGTTTGTTTATTATTCTCAAGCAATTCGGTAGGTTCTTCTGGGATATGATTTACACATGCGTGTTTTTTTCTTTTTTTTTTCCAGATTTGAAGAGTAGAAGCATGCTTTCCATTGAGACTTACACTAACACTTGTGATACAGAATGTCTCTAAATGAGAAGAATAGTGTGGTTTTTGCATATGAGTCTTCAGTACACGGTACCAATGTACTCCACAATCTCAATGATCAGAGAAAGCAAGATATCCTTTGTGATGTTACTGTTTTAGTGGAAGATCAGCGATTTCGGGCTCATAGAGCTGTGCTTGCAGCTTGCAGCAATTATTTCCTTTCGAGAATTGTGGGCCAGTTGAATTCTGATCTTATCATCACTTTACCAGAAGAGGTGAGTGTTATCTGTTTCTGCATTTTAGCTGCCAGTGTTTCTACTCTGTTGTGTTCACTTCTATTTCACAATAGAAAGTACTTAACTGAGGTTAATGATTCTTAAGGTAAAAGAGTTAAGAAGTGTGGGGAGAGAAATTTCTAAGTTGAAAAGCTGCCATTGATTAAGGTAAGAGCTAGACAGAGTATGTATCACAGACTGATAAGTGAATGCTGCTCTGGGGAGTGTATAGAGGAGTTCTGTTTACTGAAGTGGATGTTGTTTCTAAAATTGTACATGTGGTTGAAAGTACACAAGTTGCACAAAAACTGTATTTAATACCTCCCTCAAAAACTGGAGAGAGGACTAGGCTGCCTGTTTGAAAAGGAAATACTTTTGAAATAATAAATAGATAAGTGGCATTGCTACCATGACCTTGAAGTTAATCTTTTCAAGATTTCTTTTGATGAATAAATGTTCCAAAATGCATATGTTTGAGAAATATAGCCATACTGATATTCCTTAATCACAAGATTACTGAGGCTTATTACTGTTGAGTTTTGCCAGTTCACCATTGTTTTAATGTTTGTCTATGGACTTACCGTACTTTTGAAATGGTGAACATGTAATGCAGTTATGTTTTAGGTGTATTTTTCCCCCTAAATTCATACTGAATTTAGAGCCATTCCATGGGAATGAGCCAGAACCTGTCATCCCATAGGAAAGAAAATACTGTTTGCTGCCTAAAGCACTCAAGGCATTTAAAGATTCCAGGCAATACTTAAGTGTGAATAGTTGTGTTATAGGAGGCCTACATCTCTATAGGAGGCCTAACAAATGATAGTGAGTGGGCTCTTCATGCCCCAGAGAAACTTTGGATGTGGCGTGGGGATGGGTGCCTGTGACAGTCCTTGACCTAAAAGGTGTTGTTATTTTCCCCTGTTTAACTTATGAGAGTTACCATAGTTTGCAACCTGAGTGTAATTTGATGCTGTCTGTATTTGTATTAGGCTACCAGATAAGAGCTGAGCCTCCCTCCATCTTTTACAAACTAGTAGTTGAATTGTTAGTGATGACCTGCAAACAACTGGCCATCCTCAGCCTCCTTGATTTCTGTGGGTTTCTGGTCAGAGGAACCAAGAACTAAGTTGTTCAAGCACTGCAATTGTATGTGAAACATGAAGAACCTCTCAAGTGATCTGATGGTATTCTGAAGTAGCAATAATATAAAGAATAGGTTACTCTAGATTTGATTTTGTAACACAGAAGTAATGAAAGGAGGCTTCCTAAGGGAAGATTGTTATTTTCCACCCCAAAGCTGATAACATGTAAATTGTTCAGACCTCAGCTAGGGTCTTCTAAAGCCAGAGGAACGGTAAGCAACATACACGTGTTCCTAGTGATGTTAGGAGATCATATTATTCACCTGTCCATTCACATGACGTGTTCAATGTTAATAACAGAGAAGATGAAATCAAAAGGCCTGCATCCCATTAAAATATGTGCTTTGCTAGCTTAGAGATATGTCTCCACAGATATATTACAAAGCTAGCAAAGCACCTATTTTAGATGTTCCTTCCAGCATCTTACTGATTTTTATTTAAAAAGAAGGAAGAAGGAGGAGTGGGGCTGGCTCATGGGCTCTCTGTAAAGAGGATTCGTGATTTCTGATCGCTGTTGATCAATGACTTTGTGTCAAGCGAGTCTGTTATAGCATAACAGCACTATGTCACTCCTATTCATCCTCCTTACTATTCTGTGTAGTATCTTCTCCCCCACCACGGTGAAGAGGGAACTTTGTTTTGGAGTAACTGAGGTAAGGTTGGAGGAAAAAGAAATACAGACTGAAGTTGGAGACAAAGGGAGAAAATATGAAGCATCAGGGATAATAAAGCTGAGTGAGCAGGGACCAGAGTTTGGAAAGAAAAGGGAGGAATGCAGTCATAAAATTTGTTATGTCCTGTTAAGTTTATACTTAGCAACAATGTCACTTAGCATTACTGATGTAAGAAATGAATCTGCTGAAGCAACAATTAAAATACTAACAGAGAATGTCATGTTTTAATCATATGATCTGATTGCTTGGTAAAAACAGGTTAAGATTCAGCAGCTTGAGCGTCGCTTCTAGGAACTGTCAAATATTTTGAAATGAGTCAGTTCATGAAGCATATTTTAGGGAGACAAATGTCAATCACATGGCTTGACAACTTGTTAACCTTTTTAAACATCTAAAGTATTTAAAGTTTAGAATGAAAGATATCAGTCTTATGAGTCTGAAATACCAAAGTATTCCTGGAATTAAAGTAGGTCATGTACATTATACTGTCAAAACTAAACCCTGATGACTTTGTGTCAGTTCTCTTGGTTATTTGTTCTTATTCTAAGAATTTTAGCCCAAGTGCAAATTAAATAAAAGGCTTATGTACAAACTGCTCCTCTGGGTCAGTCAGGCCAGAAGTCCATCTAGCTTTGGATCTTGTTTGCGTGGAGCCAGCTAGAGCTGCACAGGAGAAGGTGTAAAGAGTGTTCGGTGACCCTTCCTTATAATCCTTCAAGTTCTTAGTAATAAGAGGTTCTGGAAATACTTTATGTGGAGAGTGTGCAGGTTTTTGAAATATGGCTATATTTTGAGTTTCACTTATAAGCATAATCTGTTTATAAATTTATTAAACAACTTTGACTAGGTTACTAAGCCTAAAGACTTCATGGCAGCATAGGGGCCTTAGATAAACACTGCATTTTATGCTTGTCTTTGTATTATATTGTGAACTCCATAGCATTAACTATGAGTTAATGCGTTTGTAATCAGTATGCTATCTCAAGAGCATATTTCACACACTGTCTTAGAAAACTCTTCAAATAAATTTTTAGTGTGTAAAATCTTTTGCTAAATTGCCTCTGTGGGAGCTGTCTTCAATCATCTTTCATGCAGGGGAGGGTGAAAGATCTAATTAATAAAGTAAATATTAGTATATAGTTACCTTTGTTCCCTTCTTTTATCAAAATAAACAAAACTCATTTCTTTATGCTGAATAAAGCATTATGTTAATACATTAACCATACTACATTTTTCTGCCAACAATGTGAGCTTGAGTTTATGGTTAGTAATAGTGGATATATTGCTCTGTCCTTCCTGAAATGCTAGTGTAACGTAATTTGTAACATGAGGTGGTCTGTGTACAGGCTTCCAACTGATTTCCTCACATTTTTTTTTTCTTTTTCCATTTCTGGAAGATTTTGTAACAACAAACAACAGATTGTTTGTAACAATACAGAATTTTTATTTGTGACCTTTGGACTTCCTTTGTTCTGCAGTAGAGACTGTGATGATAATGATTAAGTTGTTCAAAGTAAATCTACTTGCTCCTAGTGGTCTTTAAACAGAGAGTAACTGCTTTTGGTGTAGAGTTTTTGAATATATTTTTTAATCCGTGGGAGCAAGAAAACAGTGAGTGGCTATAGTAACAACTTATCACATAATTAAATTTTATTTTTCAAACTTTTTGTTATCACTGTTGTATGAAACTGAGCAAATAAGAACAATTACTCTTCAAAGGAAGGGTTAATTACCATTAAGTTCTGTGATCTTGAGAATAATTCACATATAACTTGAGTTTGAAAAGCATATTTAAAAATTGTACTCCAGCTTCTGGTTTTCAGTGGACAACAGTCTTTTTTGCTATTAGTGTTATATTGGCAGAACTGTTTAAAAGACTGATCATAGTGAAGCAAACAATTGTCATAAAATATAAAGGATAGAATTGTATCAAAAAATCTGCCTCGGGACAAATGTGAGCAGATGTCTTCCATGCGGTAAACTTGCTTCTTTTGCCATGTTGCGTGTCTTGCACAGTTTGCTCACAGGTAAATGCAGAGTCTGTGTTTCTGACTCCTGTTCTTATACCAAACACTCGGTCTGTAACTGAAGACTTGGCAGTGAAGCTGCCTGGTGCGCTAGAACTAGAAGCATATTGAGTCTTGCTCTTTTTCACCCTTTATATTCTTGCAGATTAAGACAATAGGTTGGTTTGGTCAAGGTTTCACCAAGCAGGAAGCTGGCCGTACTGATGTGTTTTGTTGTTTTTTTTTTCCTCTTTCTTTTTTTAAATAGGTAACACTTAAAGGATTTAGTCCTTTGCTTCAGTTTGCATACACAGCTAAACTTATTTTAAATAAAGACAATGTGTCTGAAGTTTTCAAGTGTGCTGAATTTCTGGGAATACGTGATATTGAAGAATCTTGCTTTCAGTTTCTCAAATTCAAATTTTTGGATTGTAAATCCGGTCATCAAGAATGCCCCAGGAAGAAATGTTGTACGCAGCGTTGTCAGAAAACAAACCCTAAAATTGGCAATGTGGATGATGCAGATGTAGAAATAGAAGATGAAGCAGAGGAGCTCCTTGAAAAAGAATGTATTCAAACTCCTCAGACGAAGCTCTGTAAAGATGAAGAAAATGCTAAAATGTCTCCTGCTTTCCAAGATAATACGAATCAAACATGTGATCCTATACACTTAGAAAGGGGGAATGTTTCAAGCTCATCTTCCCTATGCCCCAAGTATAGGAAGTTCCAAAAGGCTTTTGGAAATGACAAAGTGCATACTTCAGAAGCCAGTCCCAGTATTAAAGATATTCAGGTGCCACCAATTGGAACTTTTCTTCAGAAGGAATTACCTGATAATGACAGCACACAAAAAACTCAGGAGTGTGCAGCCATGCAGCTGGTCTCAAAATGTGAAGAGGCTCAGGTAAAAATGGAAGAAGGGAAGGAAGAGAGTAAGAAAAAGGAAGAAACAAAGAGAAATTCTCTGACCCAGAGCATTTTGTGTCCTGTGGAGAAAGTGGATGTTGCTCCTTTCCCCGCAAACTCTGCTGCACCTCATGGACCCAATTCTGTGTCTTTTTTACATACATGTGAGCCATACGGTGACTTGAACTTCACTGGTGTGCAAACCAACACAGCCATAGCAGAGAAAAGCGTCACAGGTGCTGGAGCGAGGAGTAACAAAAGTGAAAGTCAAGATACTGCACCCTCAGAGATGGATTTGTGCACTAGGGAAACCATTGACGTTGCATCAGCTGGTGATCGAAGCAGTGTGGAGAGAGAAGTGGCAGAACATCTAGCAAAAGGGTTCTGGAGTGATATTTACAGTACAGAAACTTGCCAAGTACATTTACCACCTGCAGTAGCAAAAGAATGCCTGGAACCAGTATATTCAGGGAAGAAGTCAGAGTGTCCGTGGCTGGGTATCAGGATCAGCGAAAGCCCTGAACCTTGCCCCCAAAGAACTTTTGCAACACTGAATTCTGTCAACTGCCCCTTTATAAGCAACCTTAGTGCCGAAGGATGCTCCAGCAGCTCTGAAATAAGCAGCGGAGATTATGTGCAGGGACAGCAGCAGGATCAGTGTCCTTATAACTATGTGATAAGTTTGGGAGAGGATTCGGAGACTGACACCGAGGGAGACAGCGAATCCTGTTCAGCAAGAGAGCAGGACTGTGAGGTAGGGATATGTGTGTATGTCCTTTGCTTCTTGATCTCAGGGCTCTCTTCAGAAACCTAAATCCGAGTCGCTTGTCATTTGTCATTGCTTATTTAAAGTCTCGTTTACCATTCAATCTTTTTGTCTAACAATTCTAAGACTTAGGCAGTTCACAGGAACTTATTTGTCGGGTGGTGATGTTTGGTACGGTGGTACATGTTTGAGTATTAGATCTTTCAGGCATCTCTGATCCTTCTGGAGAAACTTTATCAAAAAGGCTGCAAGTAAACAAAGATTTGGGGAGGGAGAGGAGGGTGTTTGCGGGTTTTTTGTTGTTGTTTTTGAGGAGAGGGGAGGATCGTTTCAGTCAAACTTTGGGAAAGGTCTAAACTTCTTGGAAACTTTCTTATGCATGGTTCAAATGTTTTTATTCTGACCTAAAGGGATGGGAGAAAACGAATGCCTTGCATTTCCTGCAAAATATGTTTTCTGTTTTCAGGTCAGATTCATTGGCTGTGTAGTTAAGACTGATTTAATGGCATTGCCTTCTCTGTAATGTAGGTTGTATTTGTTTCTCCATCTGCAGAAGTCTTTGGCACTTCTTTCTTTGAAGCCATTGCTTTGATAGCATTTCAGATGGATGCCATAAGCAATCTAATACCATAAGGCTTACTGTATGCAGAAAATAGAATGATTTCTGTCACAGTTCTTAGAGCAGCAGTATGACTCTGTGCATGATGAATCATTCAATGTTGCGGAAAAATTAATTGTTTTCAAAGCACTAGTTTTTCTTTTCAAGATCTAGGGACCTGACTGAGTCTCGGGTGTATAATCAGTGTAGAGAAGTGGCAGGCAAAGCTCAGGCCCAAAACTAAATACATTTCCTATCTTTACATTACAAAGAAGTGACATCATTGCAGAGAGCAGTACTCTGCCTACTTGCTTACCTATTTATGTTTACCGTGAGAGCTCTCAAATGCAGAAGGACACCCAAATTCAGGACTGTGGCTATAGCAAGGTGATGTATT